TTTCTCTCAATGACAAGACGATTCCTCTCCCACCACGATCAAATACGCTCCCCCCCCCACCTCGCTAGAGATCCTCAAGTTGTGATGTGCCGTGCCCACCACACCCTTTCTCAACTACGTTACCCTCATGAGTATGGTCTTACTAGACCGATGGCTAACGGCTCAACTCACCCCTAGGAGCAGAAAACGTCCCACCATTAAACCGCTCTCATAGATGTTTCCTCCCATTTAGCCGCTTCAGAAGGAAAAGTACAGGGAAGTAAAAGTGGTTTACCGTCTCCGCCCCTACTATGAGCATGGTCTGTCCCATCGAAACCAATGGGTTGGGTCTGTGAATCGCCTTCAAAACGAACATTAAACGCCATCTTAACTTTACCTTATAGTCCTGAATATGTCGGAGAAGTGTCTTCAGATCGAACTTCCGCATGGTGATCTGTGCAGTTCCATGATATAATGCCACCAGCATTCTGAGCAGTAGCATATTAGCAAAGAAGTCAGAAAAATAATAAAAATACATCATAAGTTCACAGGTCAAGCTGTACAGACTGGTTTGCTGCGGATGATGGGGCGTGTCGATTACGTTGGGTTTGGCGTGCCGCCAGCTCGTTCTCCACCAGTTGTTGAAGAGGGTGACTGGCGGTAAACGACTGATACAGTCTCTTCCCTTGCTCGCTTCAACATCTGGTGATTCGGAACCGTGCCAAATCCATCCCCTCTGATACGCCCCATCATTCGCAGCGAACAAGGCTGTAAGATGAATTTAGCCGAACGTTGGGAGGGTTTGCTCATGCCAGCACTCCTGAGCGCCACGAGATCTCGGCTGAGGCAGAAGTTACGCCTCTGAAAGAAGCGCAGGTCGTAGTCCCGCTTTCTGGTCAACTTATGGGGCACGTATTTCGCATTCAGACTAACCTGGCCAGAGCACACTTAACCTATTCCCGACCGGCGCTACTTCAGAAAGCCTGATACGCCTGTAACGTATAGCTCTCAACCTTATGTCATGGTCCTGCCACGAAAGGTTGCAGCGCGGACTGGTTGAAGACAACCGCAAGTGGGTGCACTATAAGTAGAAAAAACAGCCTTGGGAAGGGATCAGGGGATCACTGGATCCCCCTGACACCTCTGCGACCAAATCAACTATAGAACGATGACTACAAGCGCTGGTCTCGAGTGTTACATCCCACCCACACACTCTCTTGCACATCTTCCCTTCTATCACGCCATGGGATTGTTCGGGTACGTTTCAGCGCTGTCTGGTAATCTTTCAATTTACATCAAAAAAAATACGAAAAGAAACGGAAAACCGAAAAAGAAAGTGGACAATAGAGGATTAAAAAACGGGG